GATTAAGCAGAATAAAATGTTTAGAATACTACTACCACAATATTCGTACATCTATATTAATTTCGTAAAAAAATTATAACCAGTTGATGTCAATTAGCACACGTGTTGTTTAAACTTTAGATGATGTGTTAACCGTTTTAATATTATAAATTTAAATTTAACCTGATTATTTATTATACACAAATATTCAATTTTAAATAAAATTGTAGACTTCAGATATATAAATCAGGACATATATGATATATTATGTGATCACACGAGAGTATACTTACTACTTTTCTGTACATTTTATTTTGAGGGTCATTTATAAGTTTTAAGTAATTATTTTTTTAGTTGATGTTTTAATTTTTAGCCTCAACACTTTTCGTTAGTAAAATACATTACACTCTGACTACCTATGTATAATAATAGATTTTCAATGAATATTAAAAGTTTTAAAATTAAAATTAACAGCGTTAAATACTATACGATTTATGATTTAATAAATAATAATATAGGTTAAGAGTTAAGGTTGCAATTTATAATAGGTATAATTAATTAAAACTATCAATTACAGTATTTATTTGAACTATCAATAATGACAAAAAATCCACCTACTCATCTAGTTAAGTAAATTTAATACTATATTATTATAACACAAAAAACAATTTAATGTTTAAGTTATTTTTTAAAACACAGTGTTAGCTAATTAGCTCAAATGATAACAAATTTAAACATGAATTACACCTCTGCTTGTTTATTAATAAAATAATAAAATTCTTAGGTAGGATAGGTATACACAAATGTATTTTATTTACTGTTAATGATATTACATCGTGAATAACTAGGTACTTTGTGAACATTTTTAATTTATACAATTTTTATGTAAGACTTGAGTACTTGACCTACGACAATAAATTAACTTGTTTATTAAAACAATTTCTAGTACATAACAAAACACTTTCTCTTCATTTGATATAGGTATTTATCTAACAAATTATTTAAATTGTAAGTATAATATTCCTAAATTGGCTTTGTAATTTCACATTATTTCATAAAATCGAAATAAGCCTTTAACCAATGAAAGTAGCCAAGTAGGTATTCAATAACATGAGTTCTACACCGATAACAATTGCTATACTAAGTAGATTAACTTATTTTTAATAAAATAAAATTATGTAGGTTTCAAATGCAACAATAACATCTCATAAATAATCACACTGGATTTCAATAAAAATTGCAATTAAACACGAATTCTAAGAAAACTGTAATAATAATTTATAAATTATAAACAACCGAAAAACAATTAAAAATCATAATATATTGTTATTATTTATAATAAAAAATTATGTTAATTAATATTAATAAATATACGTACAAATTTAAACATTTCTAATTTAAATTATACTCCGGTTTAACTATCAACTATTATAATAGTATAACTATATATGTTTAAAGTGAAACACTATTGTGTTATCAATCCTGTCTAATAATGCAATAAATAATTTATAAACTAAATAAATATTTTAAAATCTAAATATACAAAATAAATAATGTTGATAATGAAATAATAAGATTGATTTATCATCCACACGACCACACAGGATATTCAACCCAAAATAAACTGTAAACAAATGTCAATATAGCATACACGACATATGTATTATAGTACAATATTATCAAATAACGATAGTAAAAAATGTTTGTAGAAAATATAACAAAACCAATTTTCTAACGTCATCGTAATAGTATAGTGTACCTATATAATTAAGGTAATGGATACAATTCCTACTTTATTGTCATTCATTTCATATAATACATACATAAGTATAAATAACAATTTTCTCCGCGTTCGATAATATGATACCTAAGTTGTATAATAATACGAAATATTCAATATTTTATTAAATAACTATAAATCATAGTGAATGTTGTGATACCATATCGAATAAGCGGACCACAACCAAGAAATCACTGACCAGAAAATACATAATTTACTGAAAAGATTAATGTGTTTTTGAAAATAGTGTCAATTTTAAAAAACGATCATGTGAAGGGGTTCTATATTCTACAATATATACTATTACAGTATTACATTATCATAACAACGATATTCTTCGATTCGAAAATCAAATGTAGTTAACGAAATACCTATTAGACCTAAATACCAAATATTGTATTTCAGTTAAATAATTATCAAATTATCGACGTGTATTATATTGAAATGAATAAAATGTATTACTATTTACTAGAAGATTCTTAGAGACAAATAGTAAAACCAGTACCGTAGTCAGATTTAATTTCGGGGGGGGGGGGGGGGGCTTAATTTTTGATGGTCAAAAAATTAAGTTTGCACTATATTGCTGATAACATAATTCATATAATTATATATTTATAGATATTATGAAATCAAGATCATATAATTAATAAAATTGATAAAATTATTGTCGTATTTTGAGGTAGGAGAGCTTGAACCCAGAAGCACTGGATACAACTACCATGAGAAATGGAAGTGTTGATCACTGAAATTTCTAATGTTAACTGACATAAGAGGTCTTGGTTAAACCGATTATAGCTTAATTTATTTACAAATTCCACAACAAATATAAAAATGATAATATTTTAATAAATAAATAAAATTTTACAAGCTACAGTTCAATACGTTAATAATAATTATAAGTTTATCATTATAACATTGTCAAGAACACAATGTAGAAAATATATAACTAATGAAAGTTTAAGTAAATAATATATTATTATCTAATATTTGCGATCAGCATTAATTAATAAAATTCTTGTAAAATGACGTGTACTTTGCAAATATCCGTTTACTCCATGAAATAACCGTTTGCCAGTCAATATTATGCTCTTGGCACTTAAATATATAGTTGGGTATTTTAGGATTTACAATAATGAAAAAATTCTTTAAAATGTAAATAATATACAATATGACATACGTATATAAAGTATATGAAGTATCAATAAAATATTCAAATTAAACTTTTAAAGCTATAGATAGATATTATATTTTTTTTTAACTTGAAAAATTCTATACCCATTTAATATCATGAAATATGTAAGTATCCAATTAACCGACAATTTGTCAATTCCAAATCTTGTTTGTAAGGATAAGCATAAAAAACTTAAATTAAAGACCCTTTGGCCTTTACTATAAATGGTCCTAATTTAATTATTTGTGCTACTGGACGTATTCGCGTATAAATTTATATATTTATATTACGTAATATATCATAGTATTTTTATTATATTGCTATAATATATATATACTGATAACTTATTATAGGTAGATACACGGAGTGGGTGTGTACTAAACTAAGTATAGATATATCGCATTTGGTAATGAATACCGTTAAAATCGAAATCGTAGACGCACAATGTTCTCCACAAAACTCATTGACGAACAACTTTTTTTACACCCATTCTGGATTAATACACGTAAACATTTACACACATGCTATCTTTAGGTAAAATAGCTTTTTAAATTCCATTACGTTAATCGCAAGCGTATCAAATCGCTTAATGTTTGGTACTTATATCGTTGTATTTATATAACAAGACTATTATTATTATCACAATTATACTAGCTACTGTAACGGAACAAATGAAAACATTTAAGTTTGTAAAAATTTTTGCAGGGGCTAGGTAATAGCTATGTATACAAAAAAAGAATTATATTTATAATAAATACTATATTCATTATCCATGTGGGACGTGAATAGAGTATTTCTATGAAACAGCACTTTTTTGTATAAACATAGACTACTTGCACGTAAGATGACAGTTTTATTTGATAATCGTTATATTGCTTTTACTGACATACATACAAACAATCTCATTTATAATATATAAACATACAGGCAAGCATAAATAATTACTAACTACATAAACCTATATTAATACGGAAAAAAGAAATCAGGCATACCTAGTTATGAACAACATAATTTTAATATTTTTCATACTGAACAACAATTTTTTAGTATTAAATATAAATTAATAAAAAAAATGTATACAATTGTATTATATTATTATAGCCATGGTCAAAAAATGTCTGAATATAGATGGTTGAAATGTATCCATAGTAAAATTTAACATTTTTTATAAACTAAGGAAGTAAAAGGTACAACTGCAAAGAAATAATAAGATTTAAAAAAATAAAATCCCGTAAGAAATTCATAAATTTCATAATTTATTTTAATATTATTATTACTGAATTTAAGAACCTATTACGGATATAATTTGATTTTCTAATTATATAAATATAATCAATTGATTAGCCAAGTATTAGTTAATTTATGAATTTCTTTAAAGTATTTTATTTTTCTGTTTTTTAAAAATAATCTTTTATAACATAACTATAACTATGTTATAATACAATAATACGTATTAATTGTATTGTTATTTCAATTTAATATGTATAAACGCAAAGCGATATATACAAATTACGTGAATCACAATTATTAGGTTTGCCCGATTTCGACTTTTTCCCGTAACATATATTACGTAATATAATTGTTGTTATCAATGTTAACTATGGTCTATCGAATAAAATATGCGCGATGAGGTGAAATTATAAAAAAAAAAATTCTGATGACTGTCCGGTGGGTGAAATGTCGTACATTAGTTATCCGGGTATGAGTGCAAAAAAAACCGGATTTGTCAGACAGCGTTGGCGGCGGCGGCGGTGGCGGCGTCGATGAGAATCGTTTTTAATAATTTATAGCAAAATCGCTCGTAAAGTCGTAAATACAATAATTATTTAATGCTCTATATTATCTTTAAATATATTTATGTATTAGGCATGTATATTGCATACCGTACAGTGAATAATTATTACACTTGTAATAATTTATTATTATAATTATTTTTATTGTATTATTATTGCAATAACGGAGCACGGAGCGCGCGCGCGCTACCGACTCTGACGGCCGCCGCCAGGGGGCGCGTGCACGCGAAGACTTGCTCCAGTGCAACGACACGAGTTGGGTTCCCCGGCTCTCGGACTACTTCACACTTGACAGACAATTGGTGTCTGCGCTAGTTGCAGCACGTCCGAGCCGCGTCGTCCGCCTGGTCGTATTCGTCACATTTATAACACAAAAATATAATACTCATTGTATTAACACAGAAATACACAGTTATAGTATCATTACACGTCGTCATCAAGTCGCGGTAAAAAATCAAACGGAACCGGGGCTTAGAAAACGACTGCGCTGCATTGTAACAGCACTATTGTTGTCGTAGTTGTTTAATCTCCCGTGTCCGATCACAACACTCTCTTCGGCCAACAAACGAGAACATAGCTGTTATAATGCTCATCAAACTCGCTGCAGCAGTGCTTTGGACCACTGGTAAGTGAAACGCACCGTTTACGTTATAATATTGTGTATTTAACCGTAATTCCAACACGAAGAGGACACGACGTACCGATTGTCTGCCAGTTGTGGGGTGTACCCGTAACACGAACAATTTATCGTTACGAAATCGTAAAATAATTATAACAGTTGTGACTAACGAATTCAAACGTACCGACGGTCTGTTCACCTCAACCCTTTGACGTCCTATCGTTAAAACGGCGAACACGCGACAACAAATGTACTATAATATAATATATAATAATAATGAAATACGTGTTGCTCGCCATGTATGTTGCGGTATATGTGCGCGGGGTCACCAATAAGGCGACAGATGCGGCAAGTCCCCCCCGGATCCCGCTGGAATTCCGAGTGGCGGACATGTGTGTGTGTATGTGTGTTTTTTTCCGCAAACGAATCCCGATGTATTCTGGTTTGGGAGTAATGACAGACCGCAAAATATAATGTCGGCCAACTATTAAATATTATATGGTAGGTTTACAGTCACAGGTTCCAAGGAAATAACTCCGGTTTTGTTTTTTGTCTATTTTTTATTTACGTCACGTTTAATAACAATGATATATATATACATACAATTGTACATTTTTGTCCCTAACAATAATATTATAGCTAATAGCACACAGTTTCGTAAAAGCATACCGCTTAGGTACCTATAGATAGGTATCAAAGTACCTGACTGCCTACCTATTTAGTCCGCCAAAAATATATCGAAATATTAGGCATGATAATATCGTTTTAACTTATAAACTCGTCACGTCACGGATCTTGTGTCAGATAGATGATGGTTGTAAATATAATTACAATACTCTAATTATTTTAATTCCCATGTCACGATGTGTATTTTAATATTTTACGCGTGTATAATTGTACATAACAAAATATTATTTTTAGGTAAACATACATTTCGAAAGAAAATTTATTTTTTATTAATGTAACATATTTTACTGAATTTTAAAAATAATAGATACGAATATTATTAATTAAGTTAATTTATTTAAAATATATTTATTTTAACGTAAAATATCACATTATATGTAGACGGATATTGTATTTTTAGAGTGCAATTTTTGTCTATAATTTTTTTTTTTTAATTTAAAAAATAAATTAAACAACAGCTGACAAGTCATATTGTGTTAAGTTGTGTATTGCTTATAATAGTTATTAATTATAAATAACAATTTTATCCATTAAGTTACCATAATAATTAATCATTTTTTCTAAGTAAATTATGTTTCACCTTAAATATATACCTAGGTAATAACAATTAATCTCCAAAAAATTTAATTTAATGTAAATATTTAGAGTCAACTGTCAATTAATATTTTGTGAAATAAATAATAATGATTAATTATGATATACTATATTACGCATATTACACAACCATATAACGTCTGATGGTTAATTATATATTATAATATGTATAGCATATTTTAATTGCTTTAAAAGTTTAGCGCTATGGCATTTCATTATAACCACCGACCACATGTGCAGTTACTTACCATAAACGCGAGTATTTTATACGTTGTCAGTGGTTTTAGTAATACATATTATATCATTTGTATTCGTTGTAGTTTATACGTTTATAACGTTTTATAAATCAATTGCTTAAAATCCATTTAATTTAAATTCGAAGTTTTAATTTTAAAATTTAATATAGGAGCTGCTATTTTTTAATTTGAAAACTAGATGAGCACATGCGAGGTAAATTCTTAATTATAACCTAGAACTAGGTTTGTCAAAACTTATAAAATTATAATATACAACTTCTAAAAAATATTTAATTCTCTGTTATTTGTCAAATAATCTGAATACCTAGTACTTTTCAGTTTTCACAGAATAAATGAATAATCATTTATAGTATAGTATCGTATACTCTGGTTATATCCATGTATCAATAAAAACGTAAATTTTAATATAAATTGAAAATTAATTCAAGTATACATTTAAAATAAATATAAAAATTCCTCAAAAATTCCTATGTTTAAAAATTTTTAAGTTTTCTTTTGTTTTTGAGTTGACTATTAAATTAGTTCAAGGATATATTTTTAACATAATATTTTTATTTTATTCAACGAACATCGATAAAATCTAAATACTTAGTTATTCGCCTAGTATATGTCAATCTAAAAAAAGAAAAAAATAAGTATAAATACTGACGATGAAATCTATTATTAAATACAACTAATACAATAAGGTAGATGTAAAATTGTTATTCAGACTCCGGGTGATATATACATATGGCCATATGGTTCTTAAATATTATGGTGTTGTAAAATCTTTTATGAATGAAATACCTCAATCTTTATAATAATATATACACGAAAATAATTTATTTAAATAAATTGATGTTAAACCTTAACCCAGTAACAGCGAATGCATCGTTACTACTCATTAAGTTCTCAAATTTTGTTTTGTTTAAGCCTAAAAACGTACAGTTTTAAATATAAATGCAAATTTAAAACGTATTACGTGATATTTGCGAATAATATAATTTTATTTTTGCCATTATTTTATTAAAATAAAAATAAAAATATTCGCAATCAGGAAACTAAATCATGCAAATTTGATTACCAGCTGGCAGTAAAAATCGGTTTTATGAACTCTGTTGTTTTCCGTTGCATTGTATTCATCGTTCATTCATTTAATTTTTCTTTTAAATAAAAACCTATTCATTTTATTCCATTTATAGGAGCTTATTATAATTAATATCTACGCGTCGTACAAGTTAGTAATATATCGTGCACTGCGCCACCGCGGCGGCGGATGTTTCGCAACGCGTATTCTATGTCAGTAGCGTAGCTCATATTATTATTGTATAATTTTAAACGGAATCGTAGGGAAAAGGTTTAATAACATAACACGTTTTTACTTTGTGTATCTCTATCGTGTGGCTCCGGTTCGCAAAAACGAAATTCACTTAATTTTCCGTGCACAAGAAATCTTATAGAACTAAATTATAAGTACATAATATGCGATATGTTATGTTTAGATAAGTACCCATACGGTCATACGTTACGGTCGTTTATAGCTAAACAGAAACCTAGAGCTCCTAGAGATGACATATGTAATACACGCGGTCCGTAACATTACGATATATAATAATAATAAATAATAATTGTGTTTGTATACATACTATATTATATTGGCACGAGAACAACATATACATATTATATTATTTTCGTCCTGCACGCGCCAATTTATACATGATGTACATGTTTGTGGTTTATTCCGTACAGACGTTGCAAGCGCCAATGTCCCGGAATAGTCACCAAAAAATAATATTTTGCATCACATTATATTAGAATAATAATATAAATTAATGCATGTTATCTGCAGACTTTGCGGACATTATCGTCGAGACGTATTGGTAATTGGTATAATATTTTTTATTGACTATATTATGTATTATTAGGCGGCGGCGCGTTCCGGACTTCTAAGACCGGTTAGTTTGTTTCCGGCAGGTGGTTAATATTAATATTGTATTTAATTATTATTGTTTTTCAATCGTTATTTAAAAAAATATATAATTTCGAGATTTTATTAAGTGATTATTCTATTAGGACAAAACATATCAAATATTATATAGTGATCATAAGCTCCGTGTATACTCTATTATGTTATTAGAATACACAGTTTTTTTATTTTTTTGTTTTTAATATTAACACCGAAGCCACCACTAACGCGTGTTGTGTTGAGGTTAACTAGTGTTTTATGACTTTTTTCTTAATTTCTTCCGCCCGATTTCGAACTACCGCCTATAATAGCTTTAATATTGACTTGTGAAAGAAAAAAACGTGTTTTTTATCCTTCACAGTATTATAAAGTATTATAATATAATTTATGCAATATAATCGATTCCTATTTTTCATTTTAATGACCATGGAAACAATAATTTATATTAATTTATATTAATATCAAATATCAATTGTTTAATAATACAATTCACGGGTTACACATAACTCTATTTGCAGCAAGTTGTTGATTTAAATTGAATATAAATATAAACACTAAAATCTACAAATAAAAATATATTACTTGCGTATAGGTACTTATTAATTTAAGTTAATCATCATAATCTTGCAGTTTAAAAATAAATAAATCAATGACTTAAAAAAATCTATACATATAAAATCCAAATACCACTTAATCACTGATCACTGCAACTCAAAAACTACGCAACATGCAAACTTAAAATTTGGAATAGAGGTTCTTCTCATATTTTCACCGTGTAATAAGAAAGGATTTTTAAAAATTTTGCGTTTTAGTGGAGTAATTTATGAGTTAAAATTAATTATGAAAAATGCGAATTTTTACACATTTCCAATATCATTATTAAAATTATTGTTTTGTAATCATGGTTATCATTAAAACACTTATGTTTTAAAAGTTGTTACAATTATACAGAATGCAATTTTAAAAATATCTAAATTAATTTAAAGATATTATCTATATACTTATACCATACATTTATTCACACTATTTTATGGTAAGATTTAACTAATTCAAAAGTTAAGAATAAAGTTCTTAAATTTAGAAAACAAAGCTAATTTTTGAGGCCTCTCTGAGAGTTCCGCAAGAACAGACCTTATTATGTTCCCATTTTGGTGTTATCACCAATTTTTTTCACAGAAATGTTCCAAATACCCTCCTGAATATCACCACATAACCCGATTTCTTAATTTTTTTTGTCTGGAGGGGATGGGAAGGGTGTATTGTATTTAAATATTCCAATTTTCTAACGACACTATTTAACATTTTTCCAAATTTTTTTTTTCAAAAGCTTATACCAAATATTTGATACCGCTAGAAACATTTCTATACATTTTCATTAACTATTTTTTATATTTACTTGCCGATCATATTTTTAAACAATAAAATTTGAATAAAAAATAATTCCACTTATCAATATATCATATTCCGAAGACAAAATAAACAACCAATCGCGGGCGAAGCTATGACGGGTCAGCTAGTATATA